TGGGGCTAAGAGCTGTAGTGGGCAGGTGGGTAGGAGTAGTGGGTACTGTAGGGGGTAAAATGGGGAGGAGAGGACATCTCTTCCAACCCAGTGTCCCCTGCTGGGTCGTGGTGGTTAGGTCTGCTCTTCTGCTGGGAACCTACTATTTCATTGACAAAGAGCTAAGCTAACATCTTGTCCCAGCCATTAACTCAGTCCAGGGCAAGGAAACCCCTGATCTTACAGTTCTTCCCTCTCCAACTCTTAGGTGATTCATTACAACATGTTAGGGAAAGAAGGAGAGGGGTTCTCAGTATTAGGAAATTTATTTCTGAAAGAAACCCCACTGAGGGGCGCCTGGGTAGCTCAGTGGGTTAAGCCTCTGTCTTCAGCTCAGGTCATGATCCCAGGGTCCAGGGATCGAGCCCCGCATCGGGCTCTCTGCTCAGCAGGAAGCCTGCTTCCCTCTCTCTCTGTCTGCCTCTCTGCCTACTTGTGATCTCTCTGTCAAATAAATAAATAAAATCTTTAAAAAAAAAAAAAAAAGAAACCCCACTGAGAGAAGCCTAAGGAGAAGGGAAAGCAAGATCTGGAAAAGAGCCAGAACGGGGTTGAGAAACAGCTTCTGCATCTACATAACCATGGGCAGGCTTAGCTAATGGAGACCACACAGATAATTTCTCATAATTTGGATCTGCAAGGATAGCATTTGGGTTTGTTTTTTTTTTTTTTTTTAAGTACTTATTCTTTCTCCAACGATTTGCCTGAGGTCAGGTTTGCAAATCCCAGTCAGCTACGGTGGCTCTGGTTACAGCATCGGACCTGACTTTCCAGAAACAGGAACGAAGTCTGTTTTTATGTCTCTTATTAAGCAGTAATGTAGGTAGTCCAAGAAGTGAGTGCTTAAAGAAAGTCATACAGGGTATAGTAACTGGAACCAATTGTTACTGCAGTTCTGACACTCTCATGTGTCACGCATCTGAGTTCTCTCGATTTAGATGGCGCTGCCGTCCCAGGGGGCTCGTTCGTAGCTTTGGTGCTCGGAGGTACAGGGTGACTTGGCCTCAAGAGCCCCCCATTTCCCCCCCAAACACCACCTTCCGAAAACCTCTTTGTTCACCTGCTGTCAGCTTCCTCCTCCTCTGACTAATCCAGGGAAATGCTTGATTTTCCTTTCCTCTCTTGCTCTTCTCGTGACAAGACCTAAAAGGGAGACATCACAGCGGGGCTGGGCAGGGAGCCTCTCCATGAAGGCGTGACTGCCTCTGACTTTCTCCACAACCTCACTCTCAGCCTGGCTGAGCCTCATGCAAACTGCTGTTTCTGGCTAAGAGGAAAATTTGTTTCTTTACTCTGAATCAGTGCCCGACATTTTCTAGTGCTCCTGCTCATTCTAAAGGCACTTCATAAAACGGCTTGCTGCTCACCTCAAAGCTAAACCTACTCATGTATATTTGCCCTGATTTTAAAACTGAAGAGTGAAGTGGTTTCCTACAATCAGAAACACAGTCAAGTTCTTCCCTATGAAAGAAATCGGGTCTAGGATGACATTTCCACAGATGGGAGCCCTGGTTCTCGAGGCAGAAGACATTTTTGGTTGTCATAATTTGGGCAGGGGGCGGAGGGTAGAAGGGGTACTATCGCATCTAATGTGTGGAGGCCGGGAATCTGCTAAACATCTTACAGTGGACGGGACATTCCCCGAGAGCAAAGAATGATCCAGCCCAAGGGCACCTGGCTTGCTCAGTTGGAGGAGCAGGAGACTGTTGATCTCAGGGTCATGAGTTTGAGCCTCACATTTAGTAGAGACTATTAAAAAATAATAAGTAAGGGCGCCTGGGTGGCTCAGTGGGTTAAGCCTCTGCCTTCGGCTCAGGTCATGGTCTCAGGGTCCTGGGATGGAGCCCCGCATCGGGCTCTCTGCTGAGTAGGGAGCCTGCTTCCCCCTCTCCCTCTGCCCGCCTCTCTGCCTACTTGTGATCTCTCTCTCTCTCTGTCAAATAAATAAATAAAATCTTACCCAAAAAATAATAAGTAAACTCAGAAAAGAATGTTCCAGCCCAGAATGTGAATAATGCCAGTGTTAAAAAACCCTGGCTTATAAGAGCTTACCTCCTGTGAGTCTTCCAACAGGAAAGCTGGTTTTCCTCTCTAGATGCCTGGGTCCATCTCGGAAGGTGTCCTGAGCACATCCCACCTGGCAGCTCCTGGCCCTGGGAAGAGATGCCGAGTCCCTCTTCAGACATTAACTTATGCCTTTTAGATGGGACACTAACTTGTACCTTCCCATCCCAGTATCTGCTCACTTGGCCTTCGCCTTCTGCTCTGGCTTTTCCTGGTGTTTCAGATGTTTCCAAATGGGGTAGAAATTTACTATACTAAGAGTGGCTCTCATCAAGAAAGAATTATAGAGCAGAGGGCCTTTCTGTTCCAGCCCTCTGGGAGGGAGAGAAGAGCACTTGGGGGTCAGTCCCCACCCATCCTGTGGGGTCCAGAGCCAATCAGGCCAGTGGTCACTGCCAAACCTGCCCCAGGTTGCTGTTTCCCACTTCAGAATCCAAGCGGGTAAAGAAGTACTTTGAAAAAAAAAATGGTACTACCCACCAGTTCCTATTCTTTTTAAGATTTTATTTACTTATTTGAGAGGGGAGAGAGAGAGAGAGAGAGCATGAGCAGGGGGAGGGGCAGAGAGAGAGGGAGAAGCAGACGCCCCTAGAGCAGGGAGCCTGACACGGGCCTCGATCCCAGGACTCCGGGATCTCAACCTGAGCTGAAGGCAGACACTTAGCTTAACTGACTAAGCCACCCAGGCGCCCGCACCAGATTTTCTTTTTGTGGTGATTGCTCTATTACTGAAAAGAAGCAGAAACTACAAGTGTGCATAAACCTAGAGTTCCTTCAGTATTTACCAGCATATCTGAAGTTTTAGAATTTTATATTCATATTGCTTTAAGAAATAGCCTAAGACTCTTTCTTTCTTGTGTCTGATTGCAGAGCCACTGGGGCTAAGGGGGAGTGGGAAGCATGGGGTCCTTTGGGTCCTTCCAGGTCAGGTTTGGGTTGGAGGTGGGAGTACTGCCCAGGCCTCACTCAATGCGTGGAAGTTTATACAATGGCTTGACTTCGCGGTCAGGCTGATTCATCCATTTGGCCGTTGACGTCTGCCTCTGGCCCAGCCAGGACAGAAGGGGGCCCCTTAGGAACTTCTGGCCCTGTTCCCTCTCAAGGGGACGCACAATAGAGCTGTGATAAGACAGGGTTGGAGGGGGAAGTGGACTTTTGGAAACAGGATATTTTTAAATTAGAGAAAGAAACAGAAGGGTTGTGACTCCCGTTGTGACAGGTGGGCCCTGAGACTTCCCCAGACTCTGAAGGGACTGGGTTCAAGGTTGGACAGCAGAGCAGAAACTGAGGCCTCTTGGAGCATGACCGTCTATGATACTGAGGACTCGGAGCGGGTGGGTGATGACCTTCCTGCGATTACCTCTGCCACCTTCAGGAATGGCAACCATCCCCCATCCCCACATCTCCTCCCTTCCCCAGACAGGAAGTCCCCATAGTTTCTCTGTCTCCAGGTTTGTGCCGTGGGGGTTGTTTGGGGAATCAGCCCCAACCATTTGGGCCCCTGTTCATTTAGAAACTGCTATTAGTGGGCGGCCTGATCCTTTCCAAAGGGGCAAACCACAGCCCTCTCTTGCTTGTGGTAGTGAAAACCATCTCTAACTAATAGGCGGGCATGGCTCACTCTCACCATAATATCTTCTGCGCTCCTTTGCCTTTCTTTACCTCACTCTGATTTTCCTGACATCTGGCCAGGCCCATCTTCAGCACCGCAGCCTGGCCGGGGCTGCTGGTTCCCCCCACCGCACTCTGGCAAGAACACGGTGTTGAGACAGACCTTGGGCCATGTATCCCAAGAGCGATAGGCAATGTTTATACCTTGATCCCACTCCTGGGAATGGACAAACTATAGGAAATATGGAAATAGCTTTATTCCCGAAGAGGATATGGCAGCATTATTTAAAATAGCAAAAACTTGGGGACACCTGGGTGGCTCAGTTGGTTGGGCGGCTGCCTTCGGCTCAGGTCATGATCCTAGCGTCCTGGGATCGAGTCCCGCATCGGGCTCCTTGCTCGGCGGGGAGCCTGCTTCTCCCTCTGCCTCTGCCTGCCTTTCTGTCTGCCTGTGCTCGCTTTCTCTCCCTCTCTCTCTGACAAATAAATAATAAAATCTTTAAAAAAAAAAATTAAAAAAAAATAAGATAGCAAAAACTTGGAAAGAACCTAAATTTTTACAATAAGGAACTGGATAAGTAAACAGTTGCACATCTATTTAATGATAATTACGCAGCTACTCCCAATTATGTTTAAGAAGGTGCCAGAGAATGTTCGTGAAATCGTGTTATGTAAGAAAGATAGGCTATGAAATGGCCTGTATTATATATCAGAACTCGGTGGGGGGGAACCTCTGGAGAGCAGAAAATCACTGGAAGACAAAAGTGTCAACACGGTTTGAAGAGTAGAACCAGAGATCATGTTTATCTGCTACTTTTTACTTCCCTGTAATTTTCAGGTTTTTTTTTTTTTCCTGAAATAACATGTGGTACTAATTTAAAAAACAAACAAACAAAAACCTACTTACGGGGCACCTGTCTGACTCAGTGCCCTGACAGGTGTGTGTGACATGTGTGACTCTTAATCTCAGGTCATGTTTAAGCCCCACCATGGGTGGAAAGATTGCTTAAAAAAATCAAAGAAAATCTTTAAATTGTTTTCAAGGTCTAGTGAGTTGCCAAGGATTTTATGTGCTTGTCACATGGGGCTACAGGGTCCAGAGGAAGCTGTCTGTGGGCAAATGAGCCATCCAGCCATCTGGCTAAGGACCTAGAAAGCCTATGACTCTGGGCCTCTCCTTCTGCATCCCACCCCCCTCCTTTCACCTTGGAGTTCCTGAGATTTGAGGGGAGGGAGCCTAAGGCACTCTGTATATTCTCACCTCCATGTTATCCTTTGTTTTGCAGATTTCATGGAAAACAGATATTCTGTAAGTACACTTTCATTAACTTTTTTTTAAATAGTCCAGTGAACACTGTAATATTTCCAAACTCACCCAGATTCTATGTTCCCACTAGTTACACCCCTACACCAGCCTTGTCTGTTTTAGACCAGGAGCCCCAGACACGTCACAACTAGCCTGGGACAGGGAAGGCTTGGTCATCTGGCTGACAGGGTGCTCTGGGCCTGCTGTGGTTTCAAATACTCTCTCCCAAGGTTCCAACATTATATCTCAGCCCTCCTGTGAAGAGATACCCCCCATCCATCACCACCACCGTAGGACTGGGAACCTAGGGCATGCCCTAGCTGCCCGTGAGTAGAGTGCACATTTCCTCCTAGTCCAGCTTCAGGTTTTGGAAGTGAGGCAGACTGGGGGGTAGGGGTGGGGGAGAGTCTGCTTGAGGAGGAGAGGATCCAACAGCTTATTTAAACTTTGAAGTCTGAGAACCTACGCCAGTCACCCCAATACACCAGGCCCTCTGATCTCAAGGTCCTTGACCCAATGAAGGAATTAGATAAGTTAACACTGATGAGGATCATAACTCACCAGATGCTATGGAAATGCAGAAGAGAGACTGGCCTGGTTAGGGGTCTCCTCCCCAAGGAAGGGGTTGTTGGTATGGGCCGTGAGGAATGAGTCTCACTATAGTTGCCAAGCAGCTCAGAATGGGAGGAGAAAGGGTGTGGGGGGCAAGTGCTAGGAAGTGCTAGGAAGAGGTCAGTTAGGGTTTACATGCAAAGGATTCCAACGCCTCATTATGTACAAGGTTTCACCCTGTAGGAAGTTGAGGATTTAGGAAGCTGCTACTTGGCAGATGGAAATGTTTTTTAAAAATGTAGAAATCCAAGTTCAAATTTTGCCAAGACCTGTCTTCTCCTGTCTTCCCACTCCTGACCTCCGTACCAACTATGCAGCAGTGCGGGGGTTAACTCACTGGGCCTCTAGTACCTTGAGAAACAAGGAACTGCTTCTTTAAGGTCTGGGAAGAACTCTATGCAAAATTGCTGGTCACCTTCCAATGGGCCCCCTGGCTTCCTTTGTTTTGCTGGAGTCTGAATTCTTATAAAATAGGGAACTCCTTATGCCTTTGCTGGGCAGGAAACCACTGACATTCTTTTCATGGAGGAAAGCTATCAATCTGAGGAAAAGAGGAATGAAATGAATGTCTTTTTCCAGCTTAAACCCACCCAGACTCCTGAAACCAGAGACTTGCTTTGGAAGGGCAGGGGGCCCAATCTATAGGTGAGAAAACTGAAGGCTGAATGGGCATAACAGCCCGGCCCGGGTCAGCCAGCTAGGTCATAACAGGGCCAGGACTAGAACCTAGGTCGGATCTGCAGACTCCCTCGAAGAAGTGACATCACCATTCAAGGCAGGTCTGCTGGATCTGCGGGACCGACTTATTTACTTTGTCTTTGATCCAAAAGGTCTCTCTGGACAAAGGCTCTGAACTCCAGGACAGATAGAACTTTCCTTTCCCCCAGAAGTTGGCCCGTGGGTCTTGCAGTCTGCTCCCAGGATGCTCCTGAGAGCTCACTGGCAACCCAGCCTGCCCCACCCCAAACCGTAAAGCCTTTTGTGGGGAGCTCTGGGGTGCCCAGCCCTTGGGAGAGAGATTTGAAATCTTTAAGCGAATGCATTTTGTTTATAAAAGCAGCAGGTATAGTTTTGCTAATAATCAGCTGGTGAGGGTCAGGAGAAAATTAATTGAATTGCCCAGCAGGGAAATGGGAGGGGATTTCCTTCCTGAAATCAAACCTGGCGATCATTCCCAGTTGTTTAATGGCCGTTGCTTCTGAAAACACATTGGAGGAAATATCTTAACAATGAGATAGCCACTTAGCCAAATACTAATTTAGTATTGTTCGACTTGCTTCAATGGCACATTCTGACTTCATTTTTCCTCTGCCATTTTTGCCTTGTTTATAAATTGTGTTTGTGGCCCAGGCAGACAGATAATGAGAAAGAGAACACCTTGTACTTGAACGGAAGGGGTGAATCTGGACCTTCCTGGGGCTCGGGATCTTGCAGCAGCCTCGCTTTCTTATTGCAAAAAGGAGGCTCCCGGTCACAAGTGGCCTCCTTCCCTCCGGGGAGCCGGCCGGCCCCTGGGCCGTGGTGGGAACTGGACTACGAGGGCCAGTCCTCCAGCCGTCTTTGGGGTGATCCTGTCCTCCTCAAAGCTTCCCAATCTGTAAAATGTTGATGGTGAGACCAACAAAAAACACTACCGGCCACCCAATTAAAAGGGTCTTAAAGGCAAAATGAGATATTTTACAAACGCCCATGTAAATGCAGCTTGGTTATCTCTTTAAAGACCTTTTCTGGGGCGCCTGGGTGGCTCAGTGGGTTAAAGCCTCTGCCTTCGGCTCAGGTCATGATCTCAGGGTCCTGGGATCAAGTCCCGCATCGGGCTCTCTGCTCAGCGGGGAGCCTGCTTCCCTTTCTCTCTCTCTGCCTGCCTCTCTGCCTACTTGTGATCTCTCTCTCTCTCTCTCTCTCTGTCAAACAAGTAAATTTTTAAAAATCTTTAAAAAAAAACAAATAAAGTCCTTTTCATCACTCTGGCAGTATGAGGTATGGATGGGGGATTTACATCCCTTAGCCCTGAAATGCCTCTTCACAGGATTCAACCAAAGCGAGGCTTTGACTTAAGAAACCGGAGACCCCCTCCCAACCCCCCAAACCTAACCTTTCCCTGATAAGCTATTCACTAGCCATGTCACTTTGGGCAGATTTCTTAACCTTTTGAGGCCTTGGTTTCTTCATCTGTAAACTGGAGGTAAAAACGACGCCCCCCCCCCAACCTGGCCATTGCAAGGATTAAATGAGGGTCTAGCACAGACCTGGTTTATTGCAATCGCTCTATAAGGGGCACATTGTAGAAGCAGGAAGTAGAAATCCCAGAGGTGTTAGAAGCAAAATGACCTTTGAGAGCATCCACACCATGTTCTGGACAGAAGGGGGGCGATTTCAGGGCTGTACTTGGGTGGTTGACGGCTGGCCGCTGACTGAAGCACCAGGACGGATAGGTCTGGGATGTGAGCGTGTTAACCTTTACTTCAAGGTCCTGTGGCCGGTGGCCCAGCCCTTTCCATCCGCAGTCCTTGCCTCGCCTGGAGAAGGAGAATGGAGGCGTCTAGGGAGGGGCTTGGTCTGGGGCCTGCAGGAAGGCTGGACACCAGGGTCACCCCTGTGGGCAAAGCGGAAGAAATGAAGTGAAAGGAGCTGCCAAAGGCTGGCAGGCCTCCAGCCCCCTGGGGCCAACACCTCTCTCTTGGCCGGCTTGCCAGGCTCTCTGCTGGCAAAGGAGGAGGCAGAGCCTGGGCCTGCCAGCTGGAGCTCCTTGGACCTGCATCCTGTTCTGACGTGGCAGGGCCAGAACAAAAGGGGGACTCGACCTCAGCCCCCAGCTCCAGGAACCCACCAGCCTGGCCACGGGGCTCCCAAGACCTAGCTAATCCTCACAATTGCCCCAACACTGGCCTCCCTGAGGTCCCTCCGCGGCAGGGCGCCCTCTGCTCCCAGAGGAGCCAGAGTCGGGGCTTCCTTTGCTGCCTGCCCTTTGGGGCCCAGGGCCCCTCTACTGCAGCACTCCCCATCCGCTCGCCCCCTTGCCACATGCATTCGTCCAAATCTGACCCACCTTGGAGGCTCTGTCCATGATGCCGTCTGTGAGTCCCCAGTGAGCTCCTGTGGATCGCTGGGAAATCTTCCACGGGGCCACACCACCGTGATGGGCAGGGTATAAAACTCGTGCATCCTCAGTACAGATAACAGGGTCGGAGGTGGGTCCAGTCCCTGGCGGATGAGCAGGTATCAAAAATCCCATACAAAGCAATCAGCGAATACAAGATGGAATCTTTTTTTTTTAACTTGATGATGCAAAACATACACAACAAAATTGACCACTTTAGCCATTTTTAAGTGTCCAGTTCGGTGACATGAAGTACATTCCCGTGGCCGTGCAGACGTGACCACCCTCCATCCACAGAACTTTCTCATCATTCCAAACCAAGAGTCTGCCTGTTCAACATTACCTCCCCATTTCCCCTGGAAACCAGAGTTTTTTGTTTTTTTGTTTTGTTTTTTAAAGACTTTATTTATTTACTTGACAGAGAGAGGTCACAAGTAGCCAGAGAGGCAGACAGAGAGAGAGGAGGAAGCAGGCTCCCCACTGAGCAGAGAGCGGGATGCGGGGCTCGATCCCAGAACCTTGGGATCATGACCTGAGCCGAAGGCAGAGGCTTTAACCCACTGAGCCACCCAGGGGCCCCTGGAAACCAGAGTTTTCCTTTTCATCTCAGTTTGACTGCTCTGGGTACCTCGTGGAAGTGGAACCCTTATTTGTTCCTTTTGTGTCTGGCTTCTTTCCCTTAGCAGCATCATGTCTTCAGCCTTTATCCACATTGAAGCCCTTCAACTTTTCAACTAAAACCACAGACCTAGAGGCAGGGCTGGAGCAAGAAGCTGGGTCTCTCATAACCGTCCTAGTCTTGCTCCGTGGGTAAGGGTGACACCCCCAGACATAGCCCTGGGGCACAGCGGGTCCTTGACAGAGCAGGTAGACCTTCTGCTCTGCGGTGTCTCCAGGGAGGACAGGCTGCAGGCTTACAGAGCTGGCGAGGACAGAAGGGAAGAGCAAGTGTGGCCAGGGGCCGCCCCACAGGGTGGAGGTCCTGCCGAAGACAGCACTGCTTTGGAGCTCCTTTGTGAAGGGCTGTCTGGAGTTTTGCATCTCTTTCCACCAGGCACATCTTCAGTCCTGAAGGGTGTGACCGTAGCTCGTCTTCTTCTCTCTTGTCTCTGCAGAGAACGGAAGGCTCGCTTGATGGAACTTAGGACTGCAGGAGCAGACACTCCTCCGCGGGGGGACACCCACATTCCAAGAAGAGCAGATGATTCCCGTATTCCAAGAGCTCTGTGCGCTTCCTTATGATCCTGCCCTGCTCCCACCGGACATAGCAGTTCCTCAGGCCAAGTCACCAGTTCTTCATCCCTCCTAAGACCTTTATGTGGGGCACAGAGGGATCCAGAGGGGCTGGTGAATTCCCACCCAGCCCCCCTCTCACCAAGTTGGAGCACCCTCAGGAGTGGAGAGCAGCAGAAGGACGTTCAGGGTCAACAGCCTATTGGGATATTTTGAAACTTGAATATTTTATCTCATACAGAGATAAAGAACTTTTCCAAGTATCTTCACACACACAAACCATTTTTGTTTTGCTGTCGATCACTTCCTAGCGAATGGCCTGGCTTAGGGGCTAATTTTTCTCTTTGCCTTTGGTCCTTCAAAGGCCTGTGGTTCTGGGTAGTCCTCGCTCCTTGTAAGGTCCACGGCACCGACCAGACAGCGGCACCCTGTTCCCTCCGTGACCTCGCCTGCCACAAACGCGAAACCAACGCTGTCTGGGAGTGTCCGCTTTGAGATGCCAACTTGAAGCTCAGGTTCATTCCGGGCAATGCACAAAATAGAAAACGACACTGGACCGAGCACAGATGTTCTTAAGATGATTTTCTATACCTTTTCTTTCTTTTCCTCTACCATGCTGAAGGCAGCAAGACAGGAGGATGTTGGCCTACAGCAGATACTGTTTTTAATAGAAAAACGAAATACATATTTTTCTTACTAATTTTTTTTTTAATTTATTCCTTGCTAAAGAAATGGTCTCCTGAGGTCTTAAGATGTTTCTGATGGTGTCTTGAGTGGGTGGACGAGTAGCTGCGACCATTTTGTGGTGGGATTTCACTAGGGAGCAGAGACCTAACTGAACCCATTTCCCCCAGCCGCCTCAGTGACACAGCTGCAAGGTTTTGTATTAAATAAATTTGATCTTTACTCTTCACGGACCTGTGAAATGTTCTTTTCTAAGAGGCAGCACGCATATAGGATGTCTGTAGTGTTCGAGGACTCCTGGCTTTCTGAAGTCACAAAGAACCAAGCAGGTCTTATCAGCTGGTTGTCTCCTACGGGCCCAGAGCCTCTGGCCTTTGCCGAAAGCAGAGCCAGAGGAAGTCTGAGTGTCAATCACTGAGTCATTAATACCCATTGGCTGGTTCTCAGGTGTTTGCTTCCCAAGCCAAAGCCTGCCAGGCTGTCCCTGGCAGTTGGGGTTGCCAGACTGAGCAAAAACAACAAAAACCCAGAACAGGATGTTTGGTTAAATTTGAATTTCAGGTAAACGGACTATCTTTTAAGTGTAAGTATATCCCCCATAACATGTGGGATGTACTTATACAGTAAAAGTATTCATTTATCTGAGATTCAGATTTAACTAGGCATCTCCTATTTTATTTGGTAACAATACTGGCAAAGCACCCTCCTACCCCTATAAGCCAGCCTCACTGGCCTCAGACCAGACCTCACTGCCCCGAGGGCCGGGTCCCAATCACAGCATCACCCTCCTGGGCCCAAAGGCAGAGGGAGCCACGGAGTGCGTGTCCTGGCTCTGCCACGTGACGGCCGCAGGAATGTGAAAGAGCCTCTTAACCTTGAGCCTCAGGTCTTCAGCTCCACAATGAGGAGATTGGACTAATGGTTCTTAACATTTGGAGGGTTTAGACGCCTTTGAAAGTATGAAAGCTATGGACTCTCACATGCACACACGCACGTACACACACACCAAGTTGTTTCACAAAAATGTCCTATAATTTCCCAGGTTCCAGGGTCATGGACTCAGGTTGGAGGCAAAGGAGGAGACAATCTGTAATGAACTTAAAGTCTGACAGTTGATGTGTTGATGATCTGGGGAAAGCCCAGAGCCACATGTCAGCTCCTCAGTCCCTGCTCCCACCAGGCCACTGCCGTAGAAACTGGGACGATCCATTCCTATAGCTTATGACTTATTTATGGAGCGTAAGTGAGTTTTTAATTGTTTTTCCCTCTTATCTGTATTTCTGAGAGGGAAACCACACACACACACACACACACACACACACACACACACATGGACTTTTCATAGCAGATTCAGTATCTAAAAATCTAAGTCCAAGATCCTGGTTCAGCTGTCCTAACCCAATGGCATAACCAAGGGTCTAAGCCAGAGCTCCTCCCTGAAGAAGAGCATCAGTCACCCTTTCCAGGAGAGCCTGGTTATCCTCGGCACTCAGAGCTCCCTCTCGTGTCGTAATAGACCATTAAAGGACTTAACCACTCTCTGCAAACGCGTAGTGGCATTTTTTCCCCTCTTCTGAGGATCCTCTAGAGATCAGCCGCCCATGTCAGGAGCATACACTGAGCACTCCATCAGCATTAACTGATAAACTGTATTCTCACCCCTTGACAAACGCAAGATGGGCGAGGTGACACCAAGGTCAGCATTCATCCATCAAAGCAGTGGTATTTCTACCAGGGAGATTTTGCCTCCCAGGATCACTGGGCAGTGTCTGGAGACATGTTTATTTGTCACAATTGGGTCGGGGGAGCCACTGGCATCTGGTGGGACGAAGCCAGGGATGCCGCTGAATGTCCCACAACGCCCAGGACAGCCCACCATCGCCAAGAATTATCAAGTCGAAAATATCAGTAATGCCTGCACTGAACCAGCCAGTTATTCATTTATTTTGTCCCCGTCACGCTCTGTTTTCCCGACACTGTTGGAAATAGGCCAGAGTATAAGAATCACTTGGCTCCTGCTCTTCCTGGAACACACAATCCAGTAGAGATACAGACGAGGAAAGCACCGATTACAACGATGGGACAAAGACCGCAATGGGGGAATTTAGAGCCAATGGGGCCACGGAGGAAGGGCTCCTCACTCTGACCTTGGGGAACCACAGTGTCCCAGAGGAAGTTGGGTCTAACCAGAGACCTGAGAACAGGTAGAGGGTACTGGGCGGAAGAGGCGGGATGAACATGGCTGACAAAGGGGGAGAGTGTGCTGAGGCCCTGAGGCAAGTGAGAGAATGGTGTCCTCAAGGAATAACAGGAAGACAGTCTATTGGCCCCAGGTCCTCTCCCAACCGAGGATCAATCAATCAGTCCTCTTCAAAAAGCCACCATTGTCCTCTGAAATTTCTGCTGGGCACCTCACTGGTCTGACTCAATATTTGAGAGTCTTCAGGAGAGGCCTTCTGAAGGTTGCTCAACCAGAACTCAGCTCCTGAACACAGTTGTTTTTAAGACCCTCCATGGGTGTTATTAGCATGTTGAAGAGAAAATCTTCCGCCATAGACCAGATTCTGCCCTTGCTCAGCCCTGTGTGGCTCAAATGAAAAAGTGAACTGCAGGGAAGTGGAAGCCTGGCTATTTGAGGAGAGTCTCCACAGTCGGGGCCCATGGGATGGGTATGGATGGGTAGGATATGGCAGCTGTGAACACCCACCCTGAGAGTCGGGGCAAAGGTTGTGAGAAGATGCAATTTTCTGGAAGAGAGTCGTAGCTTTTACCAGTTTCTCAGAGACAAGGTCCAAAACAACGTTAAGAACTATAAATTAATTAAAAACTCCTGTATGCTCCATATGATTTGATGTCTGTTAAAACCCCCAAAAGAGGGGTGCCTGGGTGGTTCAGTCAGTTAAGCATCTGCCTTCAGCGTGGGTCATGATCTGAGGGTCCTGGGATGGAGACCCCAGATGGATTCCTTGCTCAGCGGGGAGCCTGCTTCTCCCTCTCCGAGTCTCCCCTCTGCTTGTGCTCTTGCTCTCACTCTCAAATGAACAAATAGAAAAGAGAAAGAGAGAGAGAGAGAAAGAAAAAAAGAAAGAAAGAAGAGAAAACAAAACCAAAAGCACAGTTAACCTGTTTTTTCTCAAAGAGTCTAGTTTGTGGACAGTTTTAAGTCCAATATCCCCAGAAGAACTTGGCTCACCTTGAGATAATTGCTCAAAATAAAGAAAGAAAGGGTGATTTCAGTGTTAGAAAGAGAGCCTTCGTCTCTCAAAAGTAATAAGCTATTAGACTATTTTGGTAAAGCAAAGGAACAGGCAGTACATTAATTTTAAAACTTAATAGTCCAAAGTATTTATAAAGCCTGAATTGTCCCTTCATAGGGACTTCAAAATTCAAGGGGAAAAAATTGTATTTCAACATGAACTTTGAGAATAGAAGAGGAAAACGATTTCCATGTTTCCAGAGGATGAAGGAAAAGGCAAGGTGCCTTAAGAGATTGACTATCCGTTGACTCTGTGACCTTGGAGATGTCACACATCTTTGGGTTCTTCACCTACAAAAGAAGGTGTATTCATTCTCTAGGGCTCCCATGGCAAATTACCACAAACTCTGACTTGAAATAAGAAAAATTATTCTCGGGGCACCTGGGTGGCTCAGTGGGTTAGGCCTCTGCCTTCGGCTCGGGTCATGATCTCAGGGTCCTGGGATCAAGCCCCTCATGGGGCTCTCTGCTCAGCAGGGAGCCTGCTTCCCCCCTCTCTCTCTGCCTGCCTCTCTGCCTACTTGTGATCTCTCTCTCTCTGTCAAATAAATAAATAAAATATTTTTTAAAAAAAAGAAAAATTATTCTCCCACTGCTGTGGAGGCCAGATGTCCCCAGTCAAGTTGCCCACATACTCCCTCCAAAGGCTCTAGGGAGTGTCCAAAGACTCCTTCTTGCCTCTTCTAGTTTTTGGTGGTGGTTGGTAATGGATGGTGACCCGGGCTTGCAGCTACATCACCAATCCCTGCCTCTGTCACATGGTCTTCTCATAAAGACACCAATCATTGGATTTAGAGCCCATCCTAATCCGGCATGACCCCATCTTTACTAATCACTATTTCCAAAGAAACTCGTGTTCCAAGGCTCCTATAGGTAGACATAAATTTCAGGGAGACACTGTTCAATCCGGTACAGAAGGAAAGAGACAAGATGAACTCAAGTCCTTGCGGATCTGACTTTCCATGTTTCTAAGATGCTCCTATAAATAGAAAGGTGTGGCACCAGTGATTTACCCAAAAATAACAGTCTTTCGAGTCGTCTCTGGTGTTTGCTCACTGTGATTGCTCTCTTGTGTTTGATGTCTCTGCCTCTGAAATTAACACTGCGTTTCTGTCTCTAACCTTCTTCATGTCCTCCCGCTCATCTCTCTCATCTCTCATCTCACATCTTTTCCCTGCTGCTTCTTTCCTTTTTCCCCTCCATTTCATCTTTTTCCTTTCTCCTCCATCTACGATTACTTGGCCATAATACAGAGTTGAAGTTTATATATATATTTTTTCCTCTCTCATTCTTTTATTTTACCATGAAAGTTTTCCTTAAAAAAAAAAAAACAAACCTGAAGCAAGTTGACACACGGTATTACCTTAGTTTCAGGTGTACAACATAGTGATTGAACAATTCTGTCTATGAAGCTGTACTCACGGCAAGGGTGGCCACCATCTGTCACCATCCAAGGCTATCACCATCGACTATATTCCCTATGTGGTGCCTTTCATCCCCATGACTTTTCATTCCACAACTATAAGCCTGTGCCTTCCACTTCCTTTCACTCACTTTGCCCAACCCCCACCCTCTTCCCTTCTGGCAACCATCAGTTTGTTCTGTTTATGGGTCTTTTTCTGCTTTGTTTGTTTTGTTTTTTAGATTCCACATACAAGTGAAATCATACGGTATTTGTCTTTGTCTGACTTATTTTGCTGAGCGTAACACCCCCTAGGGCCATCCATATTGTTGCAAAAGGCAAGATCTAATTTTTTAAGGCTGAATAATGTTCTACTGTAGATATATACCACATCTTCTTTATCCATTCTCCTATTGATGGACACTTGGGTTGCTTCCCTATCTTGCCTATCATAAATAAAAAACTGCTGCAATAACATAGGGGTGCATATATTTTTTCAAATTAGTGTTTTCTTTGGGTAAATACCCAGCAGTGGAATTTCTATTTTTAATTTTCTATATATTTCTTTCTT